TAAATAAATTTCAAACAAATATTGAAATCATGTCGTCATTATATCTATGCCCCCAAAACTATTTACTTACAGTAGATTCCTACAAACAAGCTCATTCAGAAAAATAATGACCAGGCTTTAATTATTTCTTAGATATTGATAAAAACAAGGAAAATAGTGTGAACATTGAAAAATATAGATTTCCAAGTATAAACTACTTCCTAATGTCAGTTTTCTCTATCATCCAATCTTTGTAGTAACTGTGAAATACAGAAATATAAAAGTATAGATCATATTTGATTACATTTTCCACAAATTATTACATACTGGCATATCAGTCTTGAGAAAGCAGTGAATGCTTAAATACATTCACTTTTCCTCATTTAAAATGTCTGTATCTACATACCTTTCAAAAACAGTTTAGCTCATTTCTCCCTTTAATCTTAGAAGTAGTTCTAGAAATGCTTCTTGGAACTGTTTTTTTTTTTTTTTTTTTTTTCTTTTTGGTGTGCTCTGAAATCCACATCAGGAGACAGTAGTAATTCTAATACAAGAAGAAAGAAAATGTCCCAACTTACCATTTCTAATGCATTTACACGGCCCTGCAAATAAAGCATAATATATAATTATAAAACTAAAACTATAAAAATAATTATATGTTTATCATTTTGCAGGTTTTCTATTTACCCTGTGTTATAAAAATTTATGTATTATAAACTTGTAAAAAATGAGAACTACTCAAAATGACCTTTGGAATAGAAGACAGCCATGAAAGATCACTGTACTTTTTATGACTTATCTGGTGTAAGGGTTAAATTTAACATTAAATATAAATGAAGGTCCAGGTATTAAAAGGAATGGATTTTACCATTTTTGTACTGTTATACTTACCTTCAGAGATATATAAATATTACATAAACTTGAACGTAAGAATATTAGTGATTTCAAAATGAAAGCATACATTTTCTCACCAGGTAAACAGTAAACAACGTGATCTTGAAGGTAAAATTCATATGAGTAATTTTTAAAAATCAAATTAATATATACATTGTTACTGAAAATAAGGCAAGAAAAAAAAGGTGGGGCGGGAGATGGCTCAGTGGAATAAGCGCTTCCCTGGCAAGCACAAGGGTCTGAGTTCAATCCTCGGTTCTGCAAAATAAAAAAATTAAAAAAAAAAAAAAAAAGAATGCATTGACACACACCAATCCTGCACCCAAGTAGGCCTCCATTATATAGAGCATCTCACTAGAGTTATAGAAAAATGGTCTTAATAGGGGCCACTGACAACATTCTTTAAAACCTAACTGAATAAGAAAATGAGTTGTATTTTCAACTTAAAAGTTACAGTCTCAATTTCATCCACAACTAACAGCTGTCAAAAGGAATTAGCTTCCAAATTTAAAAAAAAAAATAAATAAATAAAAAATAAAAAAATCCACCTGTAATCCTACCACTTGAGAAGCTAAGGCAAGAGTTCAAGGCCAGGCTGCACTATGTGCCAGACCTTGTCTCCCAAAACCAAAACCAACAAACGAAGGAAGCAAGAAGGGATCAAAGGGAAAGACAAAGAAAAAGGAGATTTAAAGTGTGTTGTGTACATGTATGAACTCCCTACACAAATGCAATTATTCTGTACTACAAATATGTACTAAGAAAAAAATTTTAATTCTGAATTTAAAAGAAAGTCTAAAAGATTTAAAAAATAGAAAGTGATTTCTTCTAAGAAGGTCAAGGCCATTTAAGCTTTCCATTATTTTAAACAACTGCAGAAAATCTGTGGGATCTGGATTTTTGTTTGATCAAATTAATCATTTACCAGATGAAGCAAGGGGGCAATGGAAAGGCGTCGGTTCAGGTCTTTGGTGGCCCTGCAGGAACTCAGCTGCACGTACAGATGCTTAGCAGCAGCATGCACCAGAGCCTCCCAAGGATGTAAGGCGGGAGGCTCACCCTGAGGTCTTCTGCAATCAGACCTCCAAGCCTTAAGAATGAGAAGCTGAATTTCGCATTTCAATCTTGTACACATTTAGCTATGCAGGCACATGTTAAATAAATATATTATGCAAAATCACCCCAAAGCAGATTGCTTTTAGCAAGAGAATCTGTTTAGTTGCATTGCATGATTTTGGCACACTTGGGAGGTCCTCATTCTTGCCCTCATAGTTTTACTAAAATAACTGCTATTTCATTGGTAACTTGTGTGCTGTCACATTTGAAAGCTTTACAATAAATTCATATGATGCCTCAAGGGAGCTTTGCTCTGTTGTTACCAGGCTTCTTATTCATGACACATCTGGAATAAAACCATTCAACAATGCTTTATCATCTCTTGCAGATTGAAGAGAACCTCATTAACTACCTTATAGAGACATAAACAGCCTTTGGGTACTTTATATGAACCATCTTGAAAGGCCCAAAATATTTACAGCACCTCTTTGGGCTTTAAGATTTCCTTGGACCACCGGTTTGTGGGCTGATCTTATTTAGGATTAGCATATTTTAAGAACCCACATGCAGCTGGTTAAATTGATGACTTCACATGATGTCAAAACAGGAAAACCGAGTTGAATTGTTTTAATTCTCACACAGTATTTGGCAAATACAAATTGATAGTAAAATTCATGTTAAGAGTATTTGTTTTACTTAAATATTTATTAAATGCTATTAAAAGAAATATGTACACAGTATATAAGATTATGGATTCAAATGGTCTAAATGACACTATTTGATAAAAAAACAAAAGCTAACAAATAATATTCAAATAAAATCTAATTGTTCTTGTCTATAACCTAATTTTTCCCTAAGTGATATTGAGATAATATGTAATGAAAAATGGATTTTTTTTTCCTAAAAAAGAATTGGAGAAATAAGAGAATTGAATTCATTGACCTAAATTTCAATAATTCAATTTGTCATCCAAAAAATGGCTGATAAGAAACCAGCCACTAAAACCAATTAAATAAGGTTTATCTAAATTGTATAAGTTTTAAAGTTTTATTTATAGGTTAGAAATGAAAAGGAACTATTAATAGTTTTTAAGTAATTTTACAATTTAAGAAATGCATTTTGAAAAAGTGATTGTAGTTGAAATCTTTTTTATAGATCAATTACTTATATTTCTGTATATAAAAGAATTAGGTTATTATACATTCTTAGTCTCAAAATATCTGCATATTTTCTCTCATGTTACAGTTAATAAAATAGAAAAATGTAAACAAATATTGTGGCTCTGATACAGACCATCAAAAAGCTGCCCATCTATGTTCCAGAATGAACAATAATAGCAAAATTGCTCACATCTTTTTTGGCCTCCTCTAGCCTACCTAGAGCTGAACAGTAGTGTGTTTTTTCTCCTTTTCTTAATTTTCAGTTCAGTTTTATCTTCCAACTCCACCTGCAGGTTCAATATGCCTTTCCTTGAAAAGCCACACACTCTTCCTCCCAGCCCACATTTCCTACCCCAGATTCAGGAAAGAACACCATGGTCAGGACACTGAAAGGAGGTGGAGTCTTAGAGAAAAGACAGCCTCCATGAGAAATGAAGGCGTCACAAAAATCATGGTATTTCAGATTGGTTTATAAATTGGTGGCTCTTATCATTCCAGTCAGGAATTTTAATTAACAGTCTGACCCAGAAAATGTATATTATATACCACACACACACAATTATGCACACACTTGTAAGAAAGTGCGGACTCTGAATTCTTCTCATAGGCATTCCAAAGTCTTTTCCCCTAAATACAAATACCTAAATAGGACATAAAAATATTATATAGATAAAACATTATTTTAAAACAAATTTATTTGTCCTTTATGAAATGTTTCTAGATAACACCAGTAAGAAGGAAGGAAAAAATTATAACAGTCCAGGCTGAAGTAAAGGAACTCTACATGGGAGTGAACTTGAAGTGTTGAAATTTCTTTCAAATGTTTTGATAAAAAAAAGTTTTAGAGGATAAAGCTTACATTGTTGTCACTGTTTTACTGTGACTAGAAATTCCTTCTTTCACTATTTTTTAGTTCTAAGTCAGGGGAAGTTAAATAACATTTATAACGGCAACAAATAATAATGTAAATGTCTACTCTTAAGTGATTGCACATGTAGTCTACACAGTTGAGTAAAAAGAGGAGTGTTAATATGGTAGTTAATTCTTATCAGCAAGTATTACATATTCTTTGCAGTTAGATGTGATGTCTTAATTTATTGTGGGCTTGACAGATAAAGTAGGAAAAATTGTATTTTGGGAGAAGTATAAAGCAAATCTACTATTAAAATATATTTTTATCTTTTTATGATTAAGTTAGTAACCTCCCTTGAACTATAAATACTCAGTCGCTCCTTGGTCACAATGGAGTATACATTAGAACTCAGAAACCAACCAAGGCAAATTCATTAGCATCACTGGAGATGGGCAAATATGTGTAGGCTAAGTTAGGAAATGAGCATGAAATGGATCACTGCTATCTGAATACCTGATCATTAACATTTTATTTGATTCAGCAGAATCAATCAATTAGACATACTGGCTCAGCCATCACAGCTATGAGGAGAATTAGAGTCTTATAGGTCTAAATAATCAGAATTCTTCTGCTGGTAAATAGAGCTGAACAGGCCTACAGACTTTATCACAATAACAGTATTTTTCAAGAATGCCTTTAATATATCATTAGCATATGACAAGGACAACACAGGCATAAAAACTGTAACAAGAATTTCTACCTTTCCCAAGTTTAAGAAGCTTTAAGATTACAAAATAAGCTAAAAATATCTCTCAGTTTGAAGGATCATGATGAACATATACTTTCAAACAGAAATACTGACAGTGAAGACTTCTTCCTATGCTGTTGTGAGAGCACAATGCTTCTACCCTGGAAGAAAAATGTACTCAGGTTCAACCAAAGAGAACACTACAAGGTCTTCTTCAGTCAATGTCAACTCTGCACTTCACACTCATACTTCATCTGCTACTTCCCACATGAAGGGTGTAGAATCCAACACAAATAGCATGTACATTTTATCTTCAGGGCCTTTCCCCATAGCATTCCATTACACTTAATAATTTCCCAGTCATTTTTTAATAATTAAAGGATATATGAGTAATCTGAAATAGAATTGTTCCCAAAGGTAGTAAAAAGAAAGATACCTTTTATTGACTATCAATAAAAAAAGCATTTTATGTAGTAGTTAAAAATACATTAAAGCAAAAAGAAACTTGTAATCTTGATGCAGCAACATTATAAAAGCATTACAGTGGCATAAACTAGCTTTGAATATACCAAATCCATCAATGATTTCTATATGAGATTTCAGTGGTATCTATTAATAGTTATTTTGACTTTGTAAAGTTTTAGGATGATTGGTATTAGTGTACCCTGCATTAGCAGAGTCAGTCATTCATTCAGTGTTTAGCTTATCCACCAACAGGTATCTACCTTCAATGCTTTAAAACTCACTTCATTAGCTGCTTAGGTGCCTTTTTCTTCCCTGCACTTTTGGACCCCTTCAGGGTCCAAAATAACAAAACTAAATATTGAAGGAAAAGAAAAGAATTAAGATTTTGTCTTAAAACAGTTGTCCACAAAACACAACATTCTGAGT